AATCACATCTGGAAAGCAGTAAATACCGGAGCATCGTACAGACAACAACAAAGCAGTGGCTGTTTGCTTTCCTTAACCAGAGCTGCTCTCTCCACACACACAAAGCTTGTTTTCTCTGGAGAACAAAGAAGTCACAGCACACTAGGAGGAAACAATAGAGTAAGGACAAACAACAACAGCTGGCAGTAGCAAAGTGTTTTCTTTCCTGTTGGAAGAGTAAAGCCTCCTGTTTTGCCGCCTTCTGAATTTTTTATTTTTTTTTTTTTTAAACTTGCCCCCTCAAACGGCAACAAAGTGAGGCTCAGTTTACTCCAAGTCCCGGAAGAGGGAGGAGGAGAAGCAGCATATTTTGAGGAGAAAATGCTATCTGGCATAAGGGGGAAAGGGAAGCTCTGCGCTCCTACCCCACCCCAGCATCATTTCACCACGTCACAGCATGCCAAAGTGACTGTCCACTACCCCTTGCAGCAGCAGCAGCCATAGCCTTGCACAGAAACCAGCAGCTCTAGCACAGAAAGAAGTCTCTGAAGGTGCCGATGCCACTAGAGCTCTCTGAAGAGCCTCCTGCGTTCCCTCTCGCTAGGAACCCATTTGCAGCACTCTAATGCACGGACAGAAAACACCAGCCTCTTCACAGTGAGGAGCGGTGTGAAGAAAAGCAGAAGCTGTCAACTCAAAGATACTACATTCCCAGCAAAAGGCTCTTAAAGTCTGTCAATCCCTACCTTTACCAGGCCAGGACTAACTCAGTTGTAGGAACCTCAGTTCTTAAAAACCCCACTGGTTATTTTTGCACAAATGCAGCTAGTCACCAGCTAATGCCCACAAGGGAGAGATCGTCTCTGGAGCATCCTGCTGTCAGAAAGCATCAATGTCTTTGTGAAGCAGCAACATTCAGTTTTAGATGTTTCTAATTTGAACTGTATTACGCTGAGACAGATCTGTATCGCTGATCCTCAAAGACCTGGATTCAATATAGAAAATTCTTCGTCAGGCTTGTTAAATTTGTTTGAAACGTTAAAAAACGAGAAGAGACATTAAACCAGATTCCCAAGAGCCTTTCACAGAGACCTTCGCTTCCAACCCGTGAATCACTAGCAGCACCTAGTGGCCACAATAAATTAAAAAGGAGATTTTCGGGTTTATCATAGAAAACCAGTTTTTTTTAGCTTATTTACACGATTAGCTTGAATCACAGCAACACCAGTGTCACGCAGGTTCTCCCAAACGCTCGCGTTATCTCTGTAACCCAAGGGACTCCTCCTGCCTGGATTCAGCCCCAAGGCCACCTCAGGTAGTCAGAGACCGCCACCAGCACAGCCTCTGCGCCCTGAGCACAGCAGCGGGAGCCCCCAGGCTGGGGAGCGCCAGGAGAGCCCCCGCCCCAGCACCCGTGGTCACACGGCGTGCAGGAGCACCGCCTGGGAGACGGGGGCTCGCAGCCTGAGAGTAACTTTGCACAGCGACCCCCAGGATACTACACGCTGCTACACCAGTTCAGAGGCAGGAACAGAACAAAACTCGGAGCAACTGATGATTGATCCCTCCTGTCCCGACAGCTTCTCAGGGGGCACAAGGCACCGTACGGCTGGGACGACTACATCTAAAATACATGGAAATGCAAAATAGATGAAGCAGAAATCCCCTCGATCTCCCAGCTCCTGTAGCAACTGCTTTTTACTATCAAGAAGGAAAAGAAACTAAAGCACAGGGAACATACAGATACTTTTATTGCTCACCTTTTATACAACAGCACACCTTCAGCCATTTTCTTTCACAGCTTGACAATGTTTATGTACACAAAAAACCCAGCAAGAAGCATTATGTGGCTTTCAGTAAAGAAAAAAAAAAAAACCCAAACAAACCAACATTAGAACATCAAACTCAGCCAGGCTTTGTTTTCTGCAGCAATAATAAAAGGGCTTCCTCCAGGCAGGAACTAATCTTCCCAGGCCGTAGTGCATTTATGTAAAAAGACAACCCCAAAACAAATTGCCCTAGGTCTGCTGAGCCAGTGGTATCAACTTGCAAACAAAATAAATTTCAGTTTGTCATTTCTTCTAGCTGATTTCAAGTAAAAATTAGGTTTGGAGGAGGAGCAACTTGTTTTGGATGGATGCAGGTCAGTTTGAATTGCTACACCTAACTACAGGCCTACACACACTATCGGTTCACAATTTAGCTTAGTTTTAAATGATCTTTGCAGATTTTGGCGGCAGTCAGTCTTCAGAGTTGAGCAGGTGGGAAAACGTTTGTTTAGCAGGAGATAAGGCTACTGAATGTGGCATGTGCAGCAGAGCTCACGTGACAGACAAACACCCGTTTGTCAGAGGGAGTTCGCCGTGCACACGCACACGTGTGTGCGGCACCTTCGTGGCTACGGGAGGCCGGCGAGCCAAAAAGCAGCACTGGGAACTGGTTTTAGAACATGGCGTTGAACAACAACTGGGGGGGAAAAGCAGAAGTTCTAGTGTGTGTTAGAACAGACAAATTTGACCAGACGGGTCTTGATAATTTCTCTAAATCAAAACGGAAGGCAAACACAGCGGGCAGTTTCAGAACAGAAGCGTTTCAAGCAGAGGGAACCAATCCAACATCTAAAAAGCATGGCTATGATTTGATGTTTAGGGTGCAGCGATGATGCATGTGATTCAGACAGGCTGGGGATGGGGGCAGGGGAGGAGAGGTCCACAGAAAGTCGTACTTTGCTCAACGCAAAGCCTCCCACCCACAGAGGTTCTACCTGCCACACACAAACCGGTACTGACTCAAGCAGCGATTAAGCCAGGCCTCTGAAACCAGGGGTCTGTGACGTGAGCTCTGCTGAAGCAAAAGTTTTTAGCGGCCTCAGCTCGTGAAGTGTCTTCCCTGTCCAAAGCCCGACTGATTATACTGATAACCTCCGTGCTGGAAGTGCTGCTCAAACTGCCCCCCTTGGTTAAAGTTCTGTCCCCCTCTGCCCCCCCAGCCTCCTCCTTGACCTCCACGGCCGCCACGACCACCACGGCCACCCCTCCCTCCGCCGCGCCCACCCCCTCGGTCGCTGTGGGACCCACCATCTTGATATCTGTTGTCCTGCTGGTAGCCCCCGCCACCCCCCCCTTGGTAGCCACTTCCTGAATATGAAGATGACTGGTAGCCACCATAGCCTCCTCCTTGGTAGCCACCGCTGCCACCACCACCGCCGTGGTAGCCACCCGTTTGAAAACCTGCATCTCTGTAGTTGCTCTCCCTGTAGCTGCCATCCTGGTAGCCACCACCTCCACCATCTGTCCAACCTCCTTGAAGCTTGTTCCCTCTTCCACCTCCTCTGCCGCCATGATCGTAACCACCACGTCCTCCTCGTCCCCCTCGATCATGGCTTCCTTGTTCATGACCTCCTCGCCCTCCGTACGACGAGTCGTAGCCTCCTCTTCCTCCTCGGTCGTGACCTCCATGGTCATAACCCCCTCGCCCTCCGTACGAGGATTCGTAGCCACCTCTTCCTCCTCTGCCGCCGCCTTGCTGCGGACCAGCCTCTGGTCTCTTCTGCCACGGCGGCATCTCGGGAGGCGGCGGTTCGATTTCATTGGGCCTCCCTCCCCTGTCAGGCACTCTGCCCATCAGCACCTGCGGAGGGAACGGGAGAACCAAGTCGCAACACCCCACGGAAGCCTCGCGTTCGCTGACACACACCACAAACAGCAGCCCCTCAGGGGTTCGGACACCCAGAGGATTTCATCAGGGCACGCTTCTGTCTGTCTGGATGTGACAGACCTTTGTCCCCGGTTAATAAAACTCAGCAGGGATTATCCAGCACTCCGAGCACTGCTAACAAGACAAGTCCGGAGGCCTGGGGTTTTGTTCAAACCGCAGGAACGCCAGCAGAGGCGGCATCACCAGGGTCTTTCCCGGAACTGCTCACTGCCTCCAGCAGCCGTCAGCACAGCGCAACACCACCTCTCTCCTAACTACTGCTCTGAACTGCTGCGGAAGCCATTGCCTTGGTGAACAGCAAAGATTTTTATTTTTAATCCTATTCCCACTTTGTCGTTGCTAAAACTACACACTTGACAATAATCTCTTTTCTTTGTGTACACAGGGGAATCTAACTTGTTAGAGCCTTGCTTTGTGATACATTCTATTTACAGAGACCAGAAACACAGCTCCTGCGTAGGTGTTACTTCAGACGGGTGACAGAATTAGGGAGCAGCGTTGTAAGGACATCAGTAACTCTGCTAAGACAGAGCAGGCCTACTCCTACCCAAAGTGATCAAAGATATTTCAGCAATTTTCTACTGCCCCTATGAAGGGGCACTCTGAACCTAAACAGGTGAAACTGCAGATTCCACAATGCACTGATGCATAATCTGGAGCACACAAGCACCAAGTTTCTTATCCTTTATTTCCAAATTCCACTCACAATCCTAAAAAATGTAGGATTTATCACTGCATTCAAATTACTGAAATATTCATAAGAGAACAACCCATTTGTCACCAAAGGTACCTTATTAATGGCACATGCAGTCTTCTCTCGGATGGATCCACTGCTTGTTCTCATAATTTTTGACAGATCCTGCCGAGCTGCCAGGAGATTTGCCACAGAAATAGTGCACTTAGTAGATAAGAGGGCACGTTTTGGCTGGTAGACTTTAGCCAGTTTTTCTGTTTGACTCTGTTGGGGAGAAGAAAAACAAAACCCACTCAGGTAAAGTAACAGGAAAGCACTGGGGCACCTCACCAAAAGCCTCATCAAATCAACACTGAAGAACAAGACGCTACTGCAAACAGAACAAAAATCAACGTGCAGCGAGAACCGCTTTGTCACTAAGAATCACTGCAGCAACGCTCGCATTCGTCAAATTACGTTCCTAATACAGGGAACACTGCTCTGACCGCCCTGCCGGGCGAGACACTGATCTTCTGACGAGTTCAACACTACGGACGTGCAGACCGTGTGGCTTCCAGGCAGGCAAACGCAGAGGGGCCTCATACGGTTCCACCAGGTACTCCTAATTTTTTTTCGCACGCCCCCCGCCCCCAGCCTCCGGACCTCCGCCTGCCCCCCGACCCGCACCCGCTCCAGGCAGGCCAGCGCCGTGCTGTCTCGGCAGAGAAAGGGCCGCGCTCTCCGGCCCGGTCAGCTTCCTCGCAGCCATCGAGGGCACCGCCACAACTCACGCTCTCCAGCGCTCGTTCTACCGCAGCCCCGCGCCCCGCAGGCTGGTGCCAAGCCCAACGAGACCCCACACGCCAGCCTTGCCTTGCACACCACCTCTCTGCTGCCCTTCGGCACCGGCCACGCGGGCGTTTGAACGTGCCAAGAGAACGATGGCAGTTTTCCAGCGTCAGCCACAACAGCCCCGAGTTCCACCTGCGGTTACCCACGGAGCGTAACGCGTGGCGCAGCTCGGACAAGCCAGACGGCAGTTTGCCCACGGACAAGAGGGCTGCTCCTTGGCGGGATCCCAGATGACGGCAGCGGGGACAGGCAAACAAGGCTTTCCAACAAATCTCTTGACAGGGCAAGACCTTCAGAGCAAGGTTTAAAATCCTAAAATCCCATTTTCCATCTAAAGGCAGAAAAATGGAACTGGGCAGAATTGAGAGTGGGTATTTCCAAGTGACTTGGTGCCAAATATTTAGATCCAAAAGCTTCTACTGTCACATTACAAGTTGAACAGGGTTTATGCAAAATTACAGAAAACATGCAGGTCATTTACCTGATGCTGGCTACAGACAGGAGAAGCAACAGTACTTACCGGAGCAGTAACGTGTTTTTCCCTGGCAAGTTTGACTGAGCTCCGAGCGCAGTTATTTTGGTGCTATGATATTATTCTTTTAGGTGAAACGTGAGCTTTTGAACTTAAAAGCCTCTAACAGTAGATTATAAAGTTTTTACTGGTGTTTCTACTATCTGGAGAAGTAACTATTTAGTTGGACTACTGTATTCTGATACTTTTCAAATTTTAACATTAAAAAAAAGTTACCATCACTCGTTAAAGCACTGATAAACTATTGCATGTCTGGAATGTGACAGCCACATTCTCCAACTTCTTATTGTTATGGTCCCAAAAAATTTAATTTGCATTTCAATAGACATAAATGCATATGTACAATCTGTGGGGTTTGTGAAAGGATTTCGTGTAGCTAGTCTGAGAATTCTCCCAGGAAAAAAAAAAACAGATGGATTTGGATGCCAAAGCTGTAACACAATTAGAAGTCCCTGGTTTTTAACCTAATCCATACTTTTGCCCACTTTCATCAACTATTAAAATATTCAAACAATCAGACAGTTCTTCAATCATCTACTAAGAAACCAGACCACCACAAGGTTTAGGAGACAGCACACCAGTAGAAGCCCCGCTCAGGCGATGAAACAGAAAAGGCGAGAGGCCACAGCTTATTATTAAAATACGGCTGCTTTCCCAATACACCAGTTATCAAGAAAAAAACCACTTGATCATTCATGTGTCAGAGTTTATCACCAATAATTCAAGCACTGCCAGCAACATAATGAACAGCATGTTAGCACGTCTGGTTTAGTCCTAGCAAAGAAGGGATACGTGCTATTTTCTCAACGTTGTCATTCCTTTCTCACTGTGAAATACAGGAAATGGGGAAACCACGTAATTATTTTTAAAAGCAGAGTATGTATCACGTACTCAGACGTCACGTCACAGCCACTGGCAGGGGTCAAAGACAGAAGGAGCACACAAAACACCACCCTGTCTACAAGGCAAGACCAAGCAGCGCCTGGGCAGGTTGCCTCACGTGCACCGGCGGAGCGGTGCTCGCAGACACACCGAGTCAAGGGAACCCGATCGCTGCGGACAGCACAAC